TTCTAACTTCGCTTTCCCTTCGTTTTCAACCCTCCAATTCTTGGCCTTCTCCCAGCATGATTTGCTAGGCGTTTTATATCACTTGCGTCACTCCCGCCTTGTCGACAAGCCCAAGTCTAACCATGCAGTCCACCCAAGTTCATCGGCTTCCATTTAGAGCCCTCGATCCTCTTTCAGATTGACATGCCTCAATGTACGCACATTGTTACAGATCGGTCAACAGGCAGCGCTTGCCGGAACATTAAAGACCCTCTCCATCGATATCTGCTTGTCGGAAACCCGCCTGCAAGACTCGAGCTCTGTGCTCACTTTTCAATCCTCTTTAGGTGACACTAGTATTGCTTTCTCATTGCACCTATCCGTAAGCGATGCCGCTTCAAGCGCTGGCCAAGCCGATGTCGATGTTGCCCTGAGTCTGCGCGGGCTGTAGCTATCTGGTTGATTGAATCCCAATCAGTAGAAGGATGCGTACGCTCCAGCTGTCTGTCTCGTTCAAAGCTTGGGGCTGATAGGTGTCTGTTTGTCATCACTGCCTACGCGCCCACAAATTGCAGTGATGATTCTGCAAAAGACGACTTCTCTCGCCAAATGCACGAGCTCATTCGCCACAGAAGAAGCACGGACAGTATAGTGCTGGCTGGGGATCTGAACGCTCAAGTTGAAAAACTGTCCACTGATGAACTACATCTGGGTGGCCAACACGGTGTTAGCTCCCGTAATGACAACGATGAGCGGTTAAATCATTTGTGTTAAGATGCCCGCTTATTTCTTGCGAGCACTAACTTCCGACGCAGCACCCCTCGGAGGGTGACATGGCGCCCACCAGCCTCGAACCAGCTGTAGACGCAAATCGGTCGCATCGCGACCAGTTATCGCTGGAGAGGCTGCATCCAGAACTGTCGCCTGATTTGGAGTACATGTGTGGACACTGACCATGCACTCGTATGTGCTGATCTGCGTGTGCGTTTTGATGGTCGCCCTCGACAACCCTGTGAGCGCATAGACACCAGCGATCTGGTGAAACCAGGTTTTCTGAATGCGTACCGAACTACGCTGGCTTTCGGGTGGCTCAATCGTTCACTGAATAAAACTGAAGGTCACTGGTGGCATGTTCACCAGACCTTATTATCAGCAGGTAAATCATGTGGTAAATCCACTAGATATAGGGTCTCTTAGCAGTTTCTGGAACTCAACCGGTGTGAGACAAGGATGCTCGCTGTCACATTTCCTCTTCAACTTCGCTATTGACGAAATCGTGGGAATCGCGTTCACAGGACACGAATTTGAAGGGGTGGAGTTGCTCACAGGCAAACGACTTCTTGACTTAGAATATGCTGACGATATTGCCCTCATCGGTGGGCTCATAAAGGTGCCAAACTGCACTGGACAGATTAGCACTGGCTGTCAGCCGTTTCGGACTATGCTTTGCACCCTCGAAGTGCAAAACTTTCCTCAAGAATTGACAAGGACCGCCTCCTTCGCTGACCCTTGGTGGGGATCAGCTAGAAGTCGTACAAAAATTCAACTATCTTGGAATCGAATATGAGATCACGAACCGTATAGCAAACCCTCTAGAGGCTTTTGCTAACATTCGCCATCTATGGCGCCGGCGCGATATCACTCTTGCCCTGAAGGATAGAGTGTACAATGCAGCGGTGCGTTCGACCCTACTGTACGGTTGTGAAACCTGGCCGCTTAAAGCAGCGGATCTTAAGAGGCTAGTTACGTTCGACCACCGGTGCCTTCGCAGTTTGTCTCACATCTGTTGGGAACACCGTGTGAGCAACGAGCATGTTCGACGCCTTGTTTACGGCACAGGAAAAGGAAAGGAACCGCTCAACGCCGTTATTTCACGCACCAGGCTCCGATGGCATGGCCACGTGTTACGCATGCCAGCCTACCAACTCTCGCGACGTGCGTTGTTTGCGCACCCGGGATGTGGATGGAAGAAGAGGAGGGTGGCCAATTGATGACTTGGTCAAGCGGAATGAAGGCCCTCACTTTGAAATTGGCTTTGATTGGGGCCTCTCAGCTCCCTTGTTGGGGTCCGAAAGATGATGAACACGTTTGGCTGGCTGCATTTGCTGACATGGTTAGGAGCAGACTTCAGTGGCGTTCGTGATGTGAGTTTCTTTGTCCCACCCCATCTTTCTTAGCCTCCCTTTCCAACCACGATCTCATTTCATAGCATAATGTAATTTTGCATAATTAATTTTTTGCTGTATTGTAGCCGATTGATAGCCTTCCGGAACGATGCCCATCCGTTACTGATAGCTCGGCTGACGTACATTTTTTATGTATTGCTGCACCGTAGCTGAGGTGTTTTCCACCTCTAACTAACGAGTATAATGATGATGACCCCAGTGGGAATTCAATATCATATAGAATCAAGCATTCTGATAGCCCATTGCTTCTAACCATTTATTACTCCTAATATGTCGGTGTAGAAGGAATACGGAAATGTGATTCTCACAGTATCGAGTAGGGCAGGCGGAAATTAACAACGGTGACACCAGAGCGTTGGCGTATGGTTTGAGAAGCTGCATCCGGATATAATTTACTCCGTTCATGTTCCCCGAAACCTGTATGAGGAAACCAAGTGCGGTCGGCCGTGGCGGTTTAGGCTGACACTATATTTCCGAATCACTCAACGGTAATGGGGAATGTTTTGTTAATCTACATACCTAGATGGAGTGCACTGCTTCAGTATTCTTGCTGCTGTTTCTCTGCGTACGGCACACTACTGATGCCTTGTCAAACTATCACCCATTTGGGGGGGAGGACATGTAATTTACGGCGCTGCGGTGCCTTCTTCGATACTACTAGACTATGTATTGAATACCGAATACTGTATTATAGAGCAAGTAGAAATGAATTCTGTACAACTCTTTCGAAATATGATGGAAAACGTGAATATCGTTATCGTTCTCATGTAACATTTAAAATATCTGACTCACGATAATGCAATACTCACAAATGTGATATGTCACCGTAAGTGTGCAATCGTTCTCTGAATCGAATAGTGGTAAAATATAAATCTAACAACCTTTTGAACTGCTGCGCAGATGTTGCCTCCATCACATGTTTAGTTAAACTGTTCCATATATTTACCACTCTCCTTTCGAAGCACAGTAGGTGGGGAACACGTTTCACATCCGGCACGACAACTTTGTATCTGTGTCCACGTGTGCTGCATGGCCCTCGTAAGTGCAGCACTGGACTTAGCTTTGGGAAGTCACCGAGATGTAGAATGCGGTAGGTCATAATGTGGTCGACCCGCACCCGAAGGTAGGACAAGGTGTAGAGTCCTAGTTTCTGGCACCGGTCTTCATACCCCAAGCCACTTAAACTCGAAATGAGCCTGGTAACAACGTGTTGGACCCGTTTGATCTTTTGTGTCTCGCCTCGGGTAATCGGAAAGTAGGCGGGCGAACCGTACTCTAGCATTGATCTAATGATGGAAGAGAAGAGGCGTGGCAACCTATTCAGACCATGTGCCGAAGCTACGTTTGAGCGCCCAAAGCATGCGCAGTCCGTTACGATATAGCCTGTTCGTGTTGTTCACGGACTTCAAATCGTAGCGCGTGAGTACACCTAGGTCATTTACGAAGGGTGTGAGATATAGCGGTTGGCCGTCAAGGGTGTAGGTTCGGCCGTCAGCACCCTTCCCCAGGCTCATAAATAGAGGCTTGGCTGGGTTGATCGGGAGAAGAACTTCTGCAGACCATGTGGATAGACAGTTGAGGTCTTGCTGAAGTAGGCCACAGTCATCGGGAGCGTCAATTTCTCTCCAAAGTGTGCCCGTTTTTGATCACCCCACCCCATGGAGACATACTGCACGTAATTGCCGTGGCTGCTTTATGCACGGTGTTGTGCGTACGGTTGATGTCGCTTACTGACAGCCCGCTCAGTGTTCACACTTATCGCCCTCGCTCCCACACTTTTCTGCCATCACCATCATCTCGGTGCTTTGTGTTTGCCTCCGAACGCAACCTGGATAGATTAAGCTTCTATATTGAAATAGCAAAAGGGAGCTGATCGTGAATTAGGCCTGCATAGAGTCGGCTGTCGATTTCTCTGGCCGAGAAATAACCTGGCCTCTTCAATACTGTGCTTTATTTCGGATTACCAATAGTCCTATGCTTGCATCTTACTCGACAAATTTGGTCAACTTTGTTCCTTCCCATCGGTTTTCCCACCCTAGATTGAAAGTCTCCGTGCATGTTCCCCGCCTCCATTACACCTTGTTCAAGCTCACTAACCACACACCATGATAGTGTGTTTCGTTGCATTCTCTTGTTACCCAGTCCAAATGACAATTTCGTACTTTCAGCCACCTGCCACTACCGCCATCTCATGACGTAAAAAAACTCGGTTCGAAATAAATGAGAATATCTGTAGCTCGGGGTGTGGATGCGGATTTTGAGCAGTTCTCCGAGCTGGGTAATTATTTTGCAGACGTTTCGTTGGCTGACTAGGCAACATCATCAGTGCGGCTTCAGGGGCCTGGTTCGCAGTGCCTCGTAAGCGACTTCAATGTCCAAGTGCTTATTTTGTTTTGAATGATTGACAATGTGGGTTTTTATCCATCATTCTGACGCTTTATCTCTAACTCACTCTCGGACACTTGCTATCGTGTTCTTCTACACATCGACTTGGCATCAACTAAAGCATTTCGCTCCTTGAGTTTTGCCGCCGATATCTCCGATTCATTAGCACTTGTAGACTTAACGAATACATGATGAATATATAGTCAGTGTTTTGCATTTGGTGAGCGCTTACCGACTTTCAAGAACTAGACTGTCGCCATGACACTGAAGAATCCTCGTATTTGGCATCCTTAGCTACCTCATCAGGCTACTTTGCTTTTATCAGTGGCATGTAACTCCGATGTAATTACCCTGAATTATGGCTTGCTTTCAGCTGCCGGAATACCTGATTTTCGCAGCCCTAAACATGGCCTATATGACAACCTACAGGAATACAACTTATCATCTCCCATGGACATATTTTGCATAGATTATTTTAGGGTAAGCTGATCGTTTTTTATAGCTTCATTATCTTGTCAGACAAATCCGGAACCATTTTTCAAGCTCGCCAAGCGTCTTTATAAACCAGAAGCCAAGGCATGCCTCACTTCGACACACCTCATTCTGTCCACTTTCAGCCTACATTGGCACATTATTTCGTCAAATTATTGCACAAAAAGAATCTTTTAAAGCGCCACTACACTCAAGTGATACTTCGAATTGTGCGAACAACTTTTCCGTTTCCTGCAGAATGTTGATGACTTGGAAACACTATGTGGCCTCCCGGAAGAAACGATCGTTCAAGCCCATGGATCCTTTCAAACCGGCCATTGCCTGAAGTGTCGCAAGATATATGACTTTGAGTGGATGAAGGGTAAATTTCACGGCATTCACATAATCTGCACAGATCTAATCATGAATGATCAAATACCGAGATGTTCCGAACAAGACTGCCACGGTGTAGTCAAACCTGGTACTTATCTTAATTTTACTGAATGTTATGCAATCTAGACGTTGTATTTTTTGGCGAGGGATTACCGCGTAAATTCTTTTCTTGTATTCAGCAGGTGAGTAATAGATCCACTATGTGAGCTTGACTATTTTCATTTGGTTCTTTCTGAGAGTGCATTCGCTGAAGATACATTTAATGCAAACTGCGTACTATGACTAATTGAGCTACTAAATGGTTCATCCAGTTGTATGCTGTTTAGCGTGATCAGTTTGATCGACTACCCTGGGCCGAGCAAACTTTTCCTCTTAAACGCTACATCTTTTTAAGCACCTCACCTGCTAATCAGCACGTGAGTCCTCAGCTCTGAACTCAACTGTTTGCTTTCGCTACGTCCCGGTTCCCGAATCCGGACGACTTGTCGGGGTCTTCGTCGCATACCACAGTTGGTACTTGTTCGTTTGGAAGACTGCTCTCTGTGAATCTGAATAGGGTTTCACAATTTAATTCGGAAGTGCCGCTCACATTGTCATTTTCGACTGGCACCAAAAGACGATTTTTTCCATGGCACAAGATGGGAGCGAGGCAAAGTTTCAACTATCCTCCTTTACTCTTGTCAGGATTTGCTCTCTTGATTGCAGTGAACCCAGTTGCGTTGTTTCGCGTTGTCTGATATGAATTAATATCCATTAGAATAATCTAAGGAATTGACAACAAAAATTCAACTAATGGTTAGTTTTTCGGCAGATTGGTTAAAAGATGGAAACACTGGGTAGAACGCAACAACACCGTCCTATTTCCGACCGCTTCTCTGACCGTTAACGTGAGTGTTCTTAAGCATTCGTACGTGAAACACCTCCAATCTGTGCCACACAACCCTGTAGTCTAGGTTGCCCGGAACATGTTCGACAAGCGTGCGTCGGGGTAAATGTTTCTGTCGCTCTGGTAACATACTGAAGTAAGTATTGTATACATCATATTGTTCCCCATGCTGAGGCTGGTGTTGCATTCTTGATGCTTCTTCACCGCAGTTGGGCTAAACCAACTTACACTTAAACTAGGTCTTTCTAAGCTGGATAAATTTCATTCCACTTTATTTGGTTTGTTCTGTCTACCTGAATAATCTAACTAGTCACGTTGCTTACGCTAATTGCGCTTATCTTCGGTAACTTTGTTGCGTTTGTAGGATTTTTAAGTAACTTGTGGGCATTCTTTTCTTATCGCGGATTCGTTGCTAACCAACTTACTTCATATGGTAAATTAGCGAAGAGTTATGCCACCGTATCTGTATGCATTATTCGATTTATTTTATTCCATCTTGTCGTTTCAAGTGATTGGCTGTTGCTTGATATCCCCGGTGTGGCTGCGCTTGATGTGTATGTTGACAAGGTGCCTACCTGTCTATTACCCATTACCTCGTCCATACTGGCTCCAGGAGACAGTTGGTCGTTTGAAGGAGGGGACGGGGTGCGCGGTCATTGTTAGGCTCGAAGAGTGGTTCACAGCACTCAGTGTGGAGCGGACTACGGTCCAGCCACCGCCTTGTGTGCACTTGATTCCCCAAATACAGCGTGTTTGTGTTTGGTTGTGAGGGAGTGTGGGCCGGTTCCGTTGTTGAAACTTGGCTCCCATCCGCATGCCTCCCGGTCTTATTCCTTCGGATTTACACTGGATATGGGGTATGTGATTGGAGCTGTGGGTAATAATAATAATATTGATGATAGAATAATGTGCCAGCTATGCGTCGTAACGGCACTTCGCTGCCGCGCGATCACCACTAGTCGAGCGCGGGCTGAGTGTACCGCGAGGACGCCCACTCCTACGCAGATTTGAACCGGGGACCTTATGGTTGCAAATCAGGTGTGCAGACCACTCGGCCACCGGCCGACGCCAGCCACCCATGGTCCTTCTGTAGGCGCAGGCGTCCTGTGGCTGGTCGCAGTGACAGGCAAATCCGGACACGGATGTCGCCAACCATACATCATACTACTCTATCGCAGTCGAATTAGATCTAATCTGGATAAATTACCCCATTTTATTTTATTCGTCCCGTTCTGTTATTCTGCTGCATATTCAGTGTCAATTCTGCGTGGGTTATTTGATATCCCCGACCCGTAGCCTAACGAGCTTGCCTCGTAATCTTGCGGCGCGGGTTAGAATCCGCGTAGATACGGGAGTCCACGCGGTATACTCAGCCCGCGTGCGACTGATGCTGGTCGCACGACAGCGAAGCTCGGTTACGGCGTACAGCTGACGCACTTGGTGTGAATGTTGGCAAGGTGCCTACCTGTCGAAAAACGCCACATCGATTATACGAGCCCCAGGAGACAGTTAGTTTTTATTTGGGAGACGGGGGTACACTGTCTTCGTGATTGTAGAGACCGCTATGACAGTCAAGTTCGGAACCGGATGCCGCCAATCGTCATTCTCAGGTTGGTCATCAGCCAGCTGCACGATCCTTGCGAGTTAACTTCATCAGGATAGCTCTGAGTGTCTAAAGCGATGAAGACCTTAGCGCTAAGGATTGATCGATATGTTTGGCTTCATACTACCTAAATAAATAGACAAATCAAAAGTTACTGTTAGCGAACATATGTTTTCGATAATTTTTCATCAGGCTAGTACAAGTATATACCAATTACATCAATTAGACAGACTACTGAGTCGTTTTAACGACCAAGTCGAAACAAAGTCGCTCGGATCCTGTCCAAGGAAGAACAAGAAGCATTCAGACGTCTACAGAAGGAAGAAAATGTTGTAATCCTACTAGCGGATAAAGGATGCATGGCAGTGACAATTGGCAAAACGGAAAACGTTAGTGGGGCCCAAGGACTGCTGTCAGACACGACTACGTGTCGTCCGATCAATCATGATCCCAGTTCAAAGCTGGCCAACCAAACCAACGCAACGCTGAAGAAGTTACAAACAAGGAATGAGAGCGATGGGCAATGAAAGCCGACAAAAAATACGTTGCGCCATAATATGAACTAGTCAAAGTGCATAAAGATGGGGTCCCCCTCCGACCAATCGCCTTACTTCCTGGAACCACCTCGTATAAATTAGCAAAGAATTTGGGGTGGATGTTGAAACACCTGATTGCCGGATCCGAATATAGCATCATCAATGCAGAACAATTCCTCAACAGGCTGCGGGGTGTCAAAATAGAAGACGACGAAACTATGCTCTCATTTGACGTCACCGTACTCTTCATTTTGATCAGTCATGAACTTGTCAGAGAAACCATGGTGCTGCTTAGGAATCAGCCAAGCACAACGACAACCATACAACCCGGGAGTTTGTGGGAATTTCCGGACATCTGCATGATAACTTATTTCTGCTTTGACAGACAGGTATACCAGCAGCTGAAAGGAACGCCAATTTGATCCCCATTATCTGGACTTATTGCCGAAGCCGTGATGTAGAAGTTGGAGCGTATTGCACTGCCATCCCTCATTCAAAAGCTTTGGATCCGATATGTGAACGACACATTTGTCAGCCAGCTGGGTTGTGCGGGTTTAACCCGTTTTAGAAAATACTTCGGCGGAAGTGTTCCAGGACGGGGTGGGTTTTGGCCTGGCAGGCGTTCTGCCTATAAAAAGCCACAAATGTCTGCTTAACAACACCGTGACTTGGCGGTTGTGACTCGCCACAAAATAAAGTCAATGCCCCATGAATATCCGGATAATCCTTTCCAACCCACGGACACCAATCGTTTACTCGCACATTGCTGACGATATCATCAAACATTCAAGAATAGAGTAGCACACTTACATGCACAAACTACACAGCCACAACACACACACACACACACAAGTACATACTTACATACCCCACTACACAAACAGACACTGTTGTGGCAAACATCCTTGATCTCGCATTGTGATGTCAAAATGATCATGCCTGTAAAGGCGTGCCTCGTCTTGTCGAGAATAAAAGCTTTATTTTTTACAGATGACGCACGAGTTTCTCAACAACAAATTTGGTCATATCAGATTTACAGTTGAACTAGAGAGTGACAACCTGTTGCCGTTTTTGGATGTACTAATCAACAGGAACGCTAATGGGATACTGCAAACATTCGTATATCGGAAGGCAACGCATACAGAGCAGCTATTAAACAACCACTCCCATGAACCACAACAAGAGCTGCATTCAAAGCTTATTTAAAGGAGTGGAAACACGCTGCAGTACAACAGAATTGAGAAGGCTAGAATGCAACCACTTATACCGAGTATTTCAAAACAACGGTTATTCGAGAAACTTCGTCAGAAAAAGCTTAATTAAACGAACGCTTCAGCAACAACAGCAGCCACGAGAGCAGACAAACAAACGGATAGTACACCGGTACATCAAGAACCTTTCTGACGGTTACTACAGTCACATGAATTTTCGGTGGCCCACAAACCAAGTGCCACCTTAAGGAAAGTGCTTTCCAAGCCTAAGGATTAAGTCGATCAGCTAAAATGTAGCCAATGTGACGAACTACGTTAGACAAACTGAAGGGAAGGTTTGCACACGAATCACCGAGCACAAAGCCGCGGTAAGAAGACATGATCCGAATTCGCTAGTTTCCGCACGTGAAGGTCAGGCAGGCCATCATTTCGACCTGGAAAATGTAAAGATTCTGGCGCGTGGGAGTATAAAACATGAGAGAATTTCTGGAAGTATAGCACTCCACAGCTAATTCAGTTAACCTACACATTGGAGTGGACGCAGCATACGCCACACTAACTTCGAGGGACCGCCACCCTAACCGATTAACTCCGGTAGATCAGAACGCCAGATAAACGGGGCGGACGACACAACTGAGCACCATGCAAAGGTCACAATGCACGTGTCAGAGGTCAAGGTTTAGGGTCAACTATTTAACAAACTGAACACGTACGGACGTCCCAGGCAATAGCATTGCTCATCTACGCGACCAAAAAATACTAATAATTTGTCAGCTGTATGCCGTAACAGCGCTTCGCTGCCACGCGACTACCACCAGTTGCGTGCGGGCTGAGTATACCGCGAGGACGCCCACCCATACGCGAATTCGAACCGGTGATCTTATGGTTGCAAACCAAAGGCACAGACCACTCGGCCACCGGCCGACTACCAAACACTGGAACATATAAAGGCGCATGCACACTATAATCGACGCATTCATCGAGGCTTCCCTACGCTACACTACTGGCTACACGCTACTCAACAACGCACTGATGATGTCACATCGATTAGTGACGAGATGTTTGTAATAAACTAGCCAAGCTCAGCGAAGAATTCGACTGTCACCAGAACAACCTGAGCTACAAATTTTCGCTCTTATTCCGAAGACGACACTCACTGGCCTGGCCAAGTCTCTCAGTCAGTTCCCTCATACTTTTATCCCATCTCGCAGTTTCACCAGCTTGGTGCACCGTCGGCTTATAATACACGACAAGGAAGTCGGTCACCAGACATACGGAGGACATGACCTAGCCAACGTAAGCAGTTAAGATTCGTCAACAACTCGAGTGAAGCACCAGAGGGTTCCTTGCCAAAAGCCAACTGGCAGACCTCGGCATCATTCAGCCGGTATTCTCTCCAGGTGTGAGATGCTCTTCGAGCACCGCTGTTCAGACACGGCCAAACGTTTAAAGTCTTCATTGTGAACTAGCCAGGTCTCAGATCCAAACGGTAACACCAGGGTTATCACAGCGTTCTACACCCCACCGTTCATTGACAAGCTTATATCCACAGATGGTTGTGCCTCTGAAAATCCACACGGGTCTTGCTGATACGCGAACTACCATCCTCAGTGATGTGATCACCAGAGCTGACAGTTACCAAGGTAATTGTACCGATCCACCAGTTCCAGTGGCTGTTCGTTGCTACCTAGAACCGGTGTATCAGTCCAGTCCTGCAATATTACTTTGCACTTTGAAATTGCAAAGCACGCGCGAAAGCGTGCAGCGTTACGCATCCTTCTATGCAGTAGTGTTTGTATAGCCACTAGATTACACCCAAGCAGAGCTGTCGTCCGCATACTCAGTGCTTAACAATCAATCACCTGGCAGAACTTACACTCCGAAAGAGTGTAATAATGGAGTCATTTATGATCATTTCGAGTAAGCTGGTAAACTCCACTTGTCGTGGGGAACTCAGGAGACAGCTTCCCGTAGTAATCCCACCCGGCCACGGGAGTCATGGTAGAGTGAATTCAGAATAGAGAGAATTCGGTTGCTCATTCGTTCGCCGAGCTGGGAAATTTGTTTGCAAACGTTTCACCGCCATGCGAGGCGGAGTGCTCTGCGAACGAATGAGCAACTGAATTATCTACCCAAGCTACCAGTTTTCCGAAACATTTTAAAGAATAGAGAGAAGTCTGACTGACACACAATTCACGGATAGGCACTGTCACAAATTAGAGCGATCAACAGTGTCGAAAGCGACTTTCAGGCTAAGGGAAACTGTTATCTTCGGTCGTCCGCAAGTGTGTTTCTGCCCCAGCACTTAGCGAACTGCAACTATGTGGTCGATGCAATCACGACAAGGGCTCGAGAGTGATACCAGTGAGGTGTTTGGAGGCAATGGTAAGAAACTAATTCTCCGGTGATTTTCGCACAATCTCTTTTGATCCGCTTTGACAATGAGCACTGCATTTGACAATTTGAAACACCTCTTCAGTGTCTCAAGTAGCGTTGAGTTGAGCAGCAGGTTCGGTCAAAATAGAATGATCTCCATCTTTAAGCGAAGATGAAAGTAAGTCATCTGATCTAAGAGATATGTTTCGTTTCAACACGCACAGCTAGTTCATATGGAGTCTTTCAAAGTGGGCTCAGATAATTCGACAAGCGGCATTGTCGCATCAAGCCTGCTGAACTGTTCTTTACTTCATTAATTGAAACAAATGGAGTTGCGCCCGATTCGTAGCAGATGTAAACATGCCCTGAATAAAAGATTTGAAGCGCACACCGAGTTTGCGAGCGTATGTTCTTGCCATCCACTGTATTGGCTATCACACTGAGGGTGAGTCTCCGTAGTTCATTCGTTTCTCCTTGAATCACCTTTGTCCCATGTATACCGTCGCATCATCCACCCGGGTCGTTAGACTTACGCTGTCATTCACTTTTCCTGCCATTTATACCACACGTCTGTCTTGTTTTACGACTACCTATTCGGTTGGTTTTCAGGATCTCCGATCGTGCGATCTTCTAATCATCATGGGCACATCACTAACTGTTGCTCCGTTTTGTTCGATTCCTCACTTAACCTCTCCTGAAACGTATCGGGTTTACATCAATCGCGACGCTCCTGACGTGACTTTTGTAAGTTGTAGTTGGTTTTGTTAATCCACCGTTCAGAACCACTTGCACATTACGTGTCTTGAATCACACTCCCCGCTACTCATATCTCATCTGTCTAGCCTCATTTCTGTTGCGCTTAACCTTCATACGTCTTCGTCACCTTCATTTTGTGTATACTTGTGCTGGAGATGATCTTCTACACTCTACCAGATTTCGCCTCCCATTCGGTCTTCTCTCTAAGGCATACAGTGTTTCTTATTACATAGTTCGTTTCAGCTCACTTAACATGCTTGGATCGATAACTGGCGCTGACAGTGAACTAGGTTCACTATAGCAATTCCACCGAAGCGGCGACAGCTTTTGCACCATTTACGACAGAAGCCGATAACTGCGCTTGCGCGGCCTGGCCGCACTTTTAACCGGTTTCGATTGGCTTCGTTTACATCAAATCCCGTGGAAGTAGTTTTTTTAAACCATCGTTATCACCCTCAATGTTTGGGCGGTGAGACGCCGTTGCTTAGTGTCCGTGGTTCATTAATAGATTCCCCATTTCTTTACCTTGGTAGTCATCTCCGATAGTTAGCTTCCGACTAACGCTGTTTTCATTTTTCGGATCACATGTGACTGAAAGAAGCGGATCACTCTGTGTGGGAACCGTTCGGCATCGACACACAGCGGCTTCTTTGCTTTTGCTGTTCAACTTTACTTCACATTTTGCCCGCTTATACGCTTAACAAATCATCCGGTTATAGAAGGCTCGGTTTTGGTGCTTGAATACCGACTTTCCGAACCGGATTAGCGGAAGTAGAGTCTATTTGCTCGACAGATTTCCAGATTCCACCACGTCTTTATGCAAAAACACTAATACTACCAACGATATCAATGACCATATTTATTTCTCGATAAAAACGGAAACGGTTTGCATGATGAGAATAACTAATCTGTCAGCTGTACGCAGCAACGGCGCTTCGCTGCTGCGCGACCACCACCGGTTGCCCGTGACCTGAGTATGCCGTGAGGACGCCCGCCCCTACGCGGATTCGAACTGGTGACCCAGGCTTGCAGACCAGGGCCACCGGCCGACGTTTAGTATACCACCGTCTTAGATTGAGTTCAGTGTTCTTGGTAGGACATACACAATCATGATACATTTGCTTGTTCACAGCCGAGTACTTTAAGGTCAAACCCGAGAAGAAACATGAGCAGAACATTTAGGGTGAACAATCGTTTTCGATTTCTTCCTCATCAGGCCTAGTACAAAAATATACTTATGCACAAGCAGGTTTGTGGGACAGTATAGTGACATACTATTGACCAGATAAAATCAAACGTAAACAGTTCTCGTGATAAACGTCAAATGATCAGGTGATTGGCGGCACGTGGGATGAATGGGCGGCAGTAAATTTTTCTCGTGTGGTTGATGGCCATGGAAGTTGCAATGCTTGAATGAGCTTCTTTTGGATGCAGAGATTAGGCTTCATCAGTCTCATGCTTACTGCTTCGGCAGTAGGAAAAAGTCGTGCTGCTAGCTGATGGGTCAAGTGTGACGGTACCATATACAGAATTTCGAAAGCACTATTTTTGTCAATATTGTGCCCATTGACAATCAGATGGTTAGTAATTGCACTTAGATTAGATCTGTCTCTGCGGTTGGTGAGCTAATTCGGTAGGTGCTCCTTGCTTCGATTTTCTAAGCGTCTGGTCGTACGTCCAATATACCTAGCTCCACAGGAGCAGGTGAATCTGTATATTACATTTGATTGGAGGCGATCAGGCACTTTGTCTTTGAATCTAGGGACAACGAACGATTCACTGCCTTGAAAGTATTCCTGCAGGCTTGCATCAATCTTCTTGTACAGATCTCAGCCGCTTTGTCACCCTTAAAGGGGATCTTAAGGAACAACTGTTTTTTCTCAGCCGTTTGCACTGTTGGCTTCGGGTCTTTAGGCCTCATATGCGTGTCAATAAAGCGTTCTGGATAACCATTCTCAAGTAGTGTGCACTTGATTCGTTCCAGTTCATCTGCAATCGTGTCTTCGCTACAGATCTTGTGCGCACGGTCAGTCAACGTATGGATCAGTGTTCTTTTGCGGCTGAGGGGCACAAAGCTCTGGAAATGTATATACTGCCCCGTCCAATATGGCTTTCTGTACTGTCCTAACTTTCATGTCGACCAAGGATCAAATCGCATAGATGATGAACATTTGGTCATGAATCCGCACATCCTCCCTACTCGGGCAGAGTCCAAATGCTTGCCTACCGTATCGTCCGAAGCAGTAGCGTCAACATAAAAGGAACAGAAATTAGTTATTTGAGCAAACTTCTCATCATAATGGCGTTCAACGAAATGGGGCAATAGTTTAGCGATTATTTATACAAGCGAACTAGCCTTCAAAGAGAGCATCAAGTGACCGGACTGCTATTTCCATCTTTGTCCGCCGTCGTTCCTTTGGACCTCACGAGACTGCCACCTAGCTTCTCTTTGGCTTTGATCTCCTGTCAGCTTTATGGCTGACTCAGCAGCCGTGCAATCAAAATTGGTTTACATTTGTATCTCCATCGGTGTTACACAGCTCGGCTGCACACGCACACACACTTAATCTGGAGGTCGCCGGTTCGAATCTTCATAGGCGCAGGCGATTTCGGAGTATGCCCAACCCACACGAGACTATTGGTGGTCGCGTGGCAGCGAAGCCTCGATACGATTTGTCGGCGTACTGCTGATGCCCCTATTACCGTCTCACCGATGTGATATTCCCACGGATTCTTGCCTGTCTTTCTTCGTTACCCTCCATCACACTGCGTACGGCCACTTCGGTCGAGTTACCATCTCTCCACGAGCATCGCTTACTTATATGTAATCGAAATAACCGATCTTTACGGTTGATGGCAGTAAAGATTCAACAATACCATTAAATGGACGATGTCTGTTTACATCAATCTTGCGGTGCTTGGTGTTTCGGGACCCCCAAAAACACATGCAGATTTTCGCGCAGACCAGTGCATGACCTGAGTCGACGAAGGTTGACCAAAAGGACTTGCAGTCCAATACGCTACCACGCCATCTGAAGCTAAGTGCAATGTGATCAGTTTGAGACTACGGTTGTGTTGGCGAAGGCGGACGCTACGTTGCGGAACGCTTCGTATGCCTGAATTTGGTGCTCGAGGGAAACAGATGATTGTTCGCCCAGTGTGAGAAGCCTGTCTCCGTTATCAGAGCGGTTCTCATCGAACGCGTGGTGACCACCAAGGTGGCGTTCGTATAGTAATAGTTTTGCCAACCCGTGCATTAAAATCCTTAGGAAGGACAACGACATCCGATGTACTGGTAGCCCGGTTGATCGTCCTTGGGTTCAAGTGTTCGCCGAGCTTCGTAATTGGAATCCAGACGTTTCATCATCATGCGAGGTGGACTTCCTCAGTGTGCTGTAGGGTCAAACGTAATCCGCTGGTTTGGTCGTCGAGGACCAATGTAGATCCCGGTAGAATTCGTCCTTGACCGAGCGGCCACTACAGTCATTTGGAGCATCCACGGAGATCACTAACAAGTTTCGTCTCTCTTCCCGGCGCTTGTTGATTCGACATGAACCCCGAAGCCGAACTGCATATGGCCGGCTGTTAATCGGGAACCAGTCCAGTAATGCCGCCTCGGACTTGCCACTTTCCATACATGCACCAGCCAAACTCCATGAGATTGCTTCTGGATCTTCAGCAAGACGCAGGTGATATCTGGCAAACAAACAATTGGCATGTGATAAAGTCGCGCGAATAAGAATCAGAAACGGTGGCTGATGAGCACATTGTAGTACAGTCTATGGTTTTTTGAGAGGGTGTGGCACTACCCAGGTGCCCAAGCCGAAGTAGGGAGTTGACTTAGGGGACCCCACCCCGAGCCTTTGGCTAAATAACCTACCCACAAAATAGAGGGACAAATTCAGGGAATCGCACCCATTCGGAATCACTGACTGAATGTTCAGTTCATGCGTCTTTCGTTTGGTAGATCACCATACATGGGCCCAATACACCCATGAAATCAGCACAATTGCTGGACTACAATGCCCCACCGCGGTGGAACACTTCGCTGGAACGGGGTACACCTGAACCACCCAGCTGGCACCACGAGGAGGTAGTTTGGCAAACAAGGCAGAGAGATGATAGCATCGCCTCATCCACCTTTTCTGTGTCGACGCCAGTAGTACCAACAACGATACCAGACGATCAACAATAGTCATCTGTCTTTATCATCTTTCGAAACGCTCTGGTAGCGGCATTTAGAAATCCTCAAGATATTCGTATGTTCACCATTGCATCCCAGTGCACTAGCTTAGCGATCCTGTTGATGAAACGCGCCAGCTGTGCACCTTGCAGCGCGAAATGTGACTGAAATTTTTATGAAAAACAACCCAAGCTACTGTCATAGCAGCTTGGGTTACAATCATTTGCCGGCGTTGCTCAGATCGCCGACTAGGTAGTAGGTCGCTTTCATACCCAACTTAACGTCGTCAGCGCACCTTTGTCGAGCCACCGTGTGACCACAACACAGTTCCTCTTCCGTACCGTTCAAGACCCAACTCGACCTAACCTAGCTTCGCAAAAGCTAACTGCACCCTTACGATGTGACTTTAGCCACAAATCTTGAAACAACAATCTACGTCACCCAGGCGTAACGATCCTGTTGGTAGCAACCAATACGGTCAGTGAGTACGCTTAACGTTACACTACGTCCTGCTTCTGCAGTTCGTCTCAATAAAGAAAACTTGGATCAGGACACAAAGGCGATTAATGTCACCGGCCCACTCGACAGCAGTTATCACGCGGCGTTCCTGAGTGATACTGGGACCGAAGTTAACTTGGTTCCTCACACATCAAGGCAGAAGACGATCCAGCTGTTTTCCCTCAACGTTTGTGTCACCATTAGCACATTCATCACTGGTTATCAACGCCCATTGACTTGGGTTTCCGCATGACATTTCGCCGCATTTTCGCCATGGCTGCAGTCCCGTTAGATGGCATCGGTGTAGCCATTTCCCTATTTTTCTGTCCTTTGGTATATGTAAAACGAAACGCTCGGCGTCCATGGCACTAATGCCGACATCTCAGCTATCGCGTCTCACTGCCTTAAATTGTTTCAGTTAATGAATGTTGCCCTTACCGTAGCTTCTCAAACCATATACCGAATTAAGACTAACGGTCGCTCTGACTTTCACTGGAGAAAATTAAGCTGGCTCGAACTCGGAATAATCCATTCTAGACAGTCCTTGTTCCCCCTCGGTCAGCCAGTACCTAATAAATCCGGATATCGACATTCTTGCGGTGAATACCGTGTACCCAACAAGCTTATGGTTCCCGACAAGTGCTCCACTCCACATGCTGTGATCTACTGCATGATTCGCGAGTAAGTGTCTCAATAAGGAGTGATGCAGTCCAGGCACACACCTTACCAGGCACACCTTACAGAAGGCCTCAGGAGCGTGACCTGGTACAGGAAGATCTCTGGTGTTCAAAACAAGCAGAGAAGGCGACAAGAAACGGCAATCAACACTTTGGCCTACTTCGCAAAGCGTTCGGTCGGTTGGAAGCGTTAATATATATATATATATATATATATATATATATATATATATATATATATATATATATATATATATATATATATATATATATATATAATCATACACGTTAGCTAGAGGTGGGGAACACCTCAGCTACTGTGCCGCAATACAAAGAAAAAAAGGAGAGAGAGAAAAAAACAACTGGTGCAAGTTGGCTGAGCTACCAGCAACGGATGGGCATCCTTCCGGTAAGTTACCAGCCGGCTGCTGTGCACCCAAAAAAAATATTATGCAAAATTATATAGGGCTAAGTAATGAGATCGTGGTTGGAGGGGGAGGCTAAGCGGCAGGCGGTGGGACAAAGAAACTCACAGCACGAACGCCACTGAGGTCGGCTCCTAGCCATATCAGCAAGTGTGTCCAACCAAACGTGTTCATCGTCCTTCGGACCCCAACCAGGGAACCGAGACGCTCCAACCGAGGCCAGCTCAGAAGTGAGGGCCTTCATTCCTCTGGACCAAGTCATCGCTTGGCCACCCCTCCTCTTCTTCCATCCACACCCCCGGCGCGCAAACAACGCACGTCGCGGAAGTCGGTGGGCTGGCATGCGTAACACGTGGCCGAGCCATCGGAGCCTGGTGCGTGAAATAACGGTGCTGAGCGGTTCATCTCCTCTTCCTGTGCCGTAAACAAGGCGTCGAACACGCTCGTTGCTCACGCGGTGTTCCCACCAAATGTGAGCTATATATATCTATATATCTGGAGAAGATATTGGCAGCGTGTGATGGTGCGCACCCAGCGATTAAGTTCACCTACCAACTTGAACAAGATGGTCAACTCTCATTTTTGGACGTACACCTTAGTAGACGAACTGACGGGTCCATATTAAGAAAGACCAACAGAAAGAAGACGTGGACCAGTCAGTATACGAACTTCAGTAGTTTTGTGCTGCTTAAATACAAGCGTAACTTAGTTCATTGTCACACCTCAAGGGTGAGAAAGATATGCTCAGAGGACCCTCTGGAGGATAAGATAAATTCTATCCAGAACACGTTGCGCGAAAATCGTTATCCGGAAAGATTCGGTTAGCGTAACATGTAGCCCAAAATAAAACCGATCCTTGAGAACGTAGTCGCGGAAAAGGCCCTCTTCATCCGCCTTGGTTTTAAAGGTGATACAGTGAGCTTTTACCAAGAAAACTGACGCAATCGGTAAGGTACACCTTTCCGGCTGCGGAATGACGATGCATTTTTGCCACGAACCAGCTAATTCCTGTGTGCAACAAGGAATGGCTGTCGAAACTGACCTCATATTACTTTATCTATCGATTTGAGTACACCTCTGGGGCAACATATATTGGTCGGACAGCTCGTCGAATGTCACGTCGCATTAAGGAACATACACACCCTATACACATTAGCTAGAGGTGGGGAACACCTCAGCTACTGTGCCGCAATACGTAAAGAAAAAGGGGAATAAAATGCAATAGGTGCAAGCCAGCTGAGCTACCAGCAACGGATGGGCATCGTTCCGATAAGCTACCTGCCAGCTACTATGCAGCAGAGAAAAAAATTATTTACTACGCGAAATTGTAAAATGCTAAATATAGAGATCGTGGTTAGAAAGGGAGGCTAAGAGGGATGGGTTGGGACAAAGAAACTCACAGCACGAACGCCACTGAGGTCGGCTCCTAGCCATATCAGCAAGTGTGTCCAACCAAACGTGTTCATCGTCCTTCGGACCCCAATCAGGGAGCCGAGACGCTCCAACCGAGGCCAGCTCAGAAGTGAGGGCCTTCATTCCTTTGGACCAAGTCATCGCTTGGCCACCCCTCCTCTTCTTCCATCCACATCCCCGGTGAGCAAACAACGCATGCCGCGGAAGTCGTGGGCTGGCATGCGTAACACGTGGCCGAGCCATCGGAGCCTGGTGTGTGAAATAACGGTGCTGAGCGGTTCATTTCTTTTTCCTGTGCCGTAAACAAGGCGTCGAACACGCTCGTTGCTCACGCGGTGTTCCCACCAGAAGTGCGCTAATTTGCGAAGGCACCGGTGGTCGAACGTAACTAGCCTCTTTATGTCCGCTGAGCTAACGGGCCAGGTTTAACAACACAGCCGTAAATGGTTGGTGAACAGGGGCGCCGGAGTTCTCACAAGCGGTATTTGGTCTCATCTGGTCACCAGATTAACTACCCGAAATCGAAAGGTACGCGGTTAAGACTGCTCGTCACTGCAGAGGTCATTGCGATCCGCATATTTCAACCCCCAGTGTGCTCGCAAAAAATGTTTGTTCAAACTCTATACATGCCCTGGCCGAACAGCCATCAGCCTAGCCGTTACCTTGACATCCGCTCAAGCATTGTGATCACGTAACCATCAAACGATCTGTGTGCATGAGATGGCGGCGAACTATTCGCTGTCTAACCAATGGCCGAGACATTTTAAAACAAACCACCGAACCAATCAAATTCCATCCCTTTGCAGTTTAACCTTATATGATTGTATCGGGTCGTAGATGAATTATTGAAAACAATCGTTTGTCTCAGCTTGGTGTTCCGGATGGATCACTGAGTAATGTTACACTTCCTATCTATTGTGGAGGCTATCTGTATCCGGCACCTCAAGGCACAGTTATGCGTACAAAAACAGTTTGTACGTCCTTTACTTCTACAGTGGCCTACAATATCCTTAGATTTGTGTCCAAATTAAGGTTTGTTTGGGAAATTGATTAGCCCCTGTACATAGTCCGCAACCTTCAATGACCGTGTGATTTATTGATTCGTTTCCGCTGGAATTAAACATTCTAATCAGTACGCAGTCCTATCCGACAAATTTAGTATCTAATCGCCATCATGTAATGTTTGAGGCTGATGAGAATTACCGAAAAGAATTCTTTACTGAGAATTTGCCTCCTTTTGAATCATTCTGTCAAATGGGAATTTTTGAATTGCTATAAATTAGAATCCCCTGTGATTTAGTTAACCTTTATATCCAGAAGTGAGTACAAGACAGAGGGCGGATATACAACGGTTGCTGGCCACTAGCTTCTGTGTGGATTGCTACCGAACACAAAGAGTACGTGTTCGCCCCCTGGCTGTCAACGGTTGGACGTTACAGTAAATGTGTTAATCACTCCGCAGCCTTGTGAATCTGGTCTTTAAGACCAAAGGCTCGGGGGGATCAATCCTCTTCCTCAGCCTGGTCAACAGGAAGTTCTCTCTCCACACAACACATAAACACACGTAACCCTTTACCTGAATGCTTCTTTTCCTTTTTATTGTTGACACCCATGTGTTGTGGCATTCTGCCAATTGTTTATTGGTCACTTATTGTATGCATGTACCCTGCCACTGGGGGCAGAAGACAATGAGGTTCAGTTCGATTTGTGCCACTCTACTTGCAACCGAACCGCAGATTATTGTTCTAGCATGTTGATTTTCATTCGGAGCGGTTGACTGTGCTCAGTAAAATGTATTCGGGTGGACACGACAACGATCATTCAAAGATTCTCAACATAAGAGATGGCTGTTTGACTAAACACAGCATAGCTCTTCTTGCAGTTCACCATGGTAGAGATCAACTATTCAATGGGACAGGAGCTAACCTGTCTTCTGCATGGCTGTGACATGCAAACCAATGGATAGTGAGTATCGCTGTATCAGGTCGATCGGTACCGCCCCCATATCCCAGTGGTCTTCCCCACCGATTGGTAACAGTTGGGTTGAGGGTTCTAGCCCCACAGAGGCTAGGTGAAGTGCGCACTATTGACAAGTTCCGAAATGGTGAAACGGCCGTACGGTGCTTTTTTGGATATTTGATGGCTGTCTGACTTAATCTGTATGTGATGAATTTCTACGTATCCCATTCAAATCCCGTACTACTCCTTTGTAATCAGCGCGCAGGCAGAACTGTTTCTAATGTCGTAAGTTAGTTTGCAGTGTACGTTTGGTGACTTCGTTGCTTGGTAAGTAGAGGACTCCGTCCTCTGCTCGGAAGTAAGTTGAAATTCTGTGGATAGTTGGCGGCGCTATATCACACTTAGTAGCCACGTCGTTCGGTATCGTCCACCGTAACCCAATTGTTTTCACCAAGGACTGGTAACAGTCAGGTTGCAGGTTCTGGCCCAACAGGTCCAAAAGGAATACGCGCTGTTGACGATTCCCGAAAGGGTGAAATGGTCGTACAGTGCTTTCGGTTGTGTGACGACTGTCTGACTGAGTCTAGATTCTCCACTATATTCGATAAAAGTAGGATTTACACCAATCAGTAGAGCTAGACAGAGCAAGCGACGTCTGCATGCAACATCCAGCATGTAAATTAGCTGCAGTAAGCCTCAATGGAACCCTCCAATTAGTCATTTGTCGTTGTGCCAACCGTTGCCCACCGTGACCCGGTAGCCAAAGGGGTAGAGCTTTCGGTTACTATTTCAATTGTCGCGGGATCGAGGCTTGCTGTCTCCACTTGATGAGATGAAATTACCTCGAAACGCGTCGTGGTTGTGCAGTGTTTTCGGGTGGGCAACACCCAATTTCCATCTGCTTTGAGTATGGTCCCAGTGATCGCCGTGACTAAGGTTCTCTTCAATGTGAACCACAGTCCATTACATTGAGACTGCGCGTCGCAATCCAATCACACAACGTGTAGTCCAAACTTGACCCTCCAATTACCTATCGGTGTGTTATAATCGCAGTTAATGAAGCGTAGAGCAGTCAGAACAAAGACGTTCATCGCATTGGACAGTGGATTAACCAGATGTCAAATCACTTGAAGCAGGCAAGACAGCCGAGAATATAGAGTAGGGTGAGAGGGTATGTCCGACATAGTCGGTGGCCTCATGCATATGAACCACAGTGGAGCAATGGGTAAGATGAAAGTTTATGTTCAGGGGTGTGGGACGACCTCGTACTGTTAAGGTACCGGGTCGCCTGGCGTAACAGAGTGTTACCGTGATGTTTGACGACACTACAAATATGGAGCTCACATCCTACGTCTGTCATCTGTTTAAATCAGCAGTTGGAATCAACATGAGGCCAAGAAGCGCAGGTTTTGCAGGGAAATGGTGGATTCATGCAGTGAAAAAAGTAAGTAAGAGTTCACTCCTGTGGCAAATAAAAACAACCAATCGGATGAATGTGCGATTAAATTTCAAAAACTAAAGTTGTTTTGTACACGATTCTGTAGCATATACAATTATTCGCCAACTGGTTTGGCAGTAAGAAGGAGGTCTACTTCTTCCAGAGGAGTACGCAATCGCAGCTCACGTTCGGATAACAGATCAACCACTTCTTCCACGTCTTCAGGACAATATCGAATCAAATCGGTGTAGAGAACCTAGAAGAAGAAATGAGATGTGCCAGTAGAGTTGCCTAGATGTGTGAGACTTGGTGAAAGCGAGCAGAATAACGAACAGCACAGAACAAGAAGCAATCGTGAAGAAAAATGTGCAGAATCAGGCACAGGCCAAATATAATCAAATAAACGCGAATGACGTACCTTGGCCCAGGGCAAATCTTCAATCGCACGATAGAAGACAGCTTTAAGTGCTTGACGCCTTTGCCTAGGGTCCGCGTTGGAGCGGGATGTGGAGGAGCCCAAGTACGACGTGCCAGACATCCAACCGAAAGCCATGTATGCACGCCAGATGACCAAACGGAGGTGAGCAGACCAAAAGGAAGGAGTATTGGCGGCGAGAGCAATGTGATAAAGCGCTCCATCCTCCGTCACCATCGGGGCAACAAAAGACCCCGCACGAACAGCACGTTCGAAGGCGTTTCGAACTCGTTGGCTGCTTGTGGAGTCTGTTGCAGGCATACCACCTGGTAACAGTGTAAGGACAATGAGAAAATCCGATAACGTTGCAATACACGGCTGTTAGAGGTTGGCGCTAGTGCAAGGAGCCAGCCTAATACAATAGCACCTTTTCAACCATCAGTGTTAGAGAATGATGGAAAGCAACAATTGCACGACGGTTCGCAATGTCAGAAGCACTAAAGTCAAGAATAAAAACAGTAATATTTAGACGACACTTTAATAAAAAACAACGCAGAAATGTAAATTAGCGCTCAAAAAAGTTTCATACAAATTTTTTTCGAAAGAAGTGGTTAGTGACTACTTCTTGTTCGTATTTGAAGACAGCACAGTCAAAAAAGTGGCGGAACCATAAGGCATACATCGGATTGCATGTATCTGAATGTTATTTTCTGTAATAAATCGCTAGGAGAGGCAATTTACGGATTAACCTAGATGACCCAAGTGCCAAGTAAGCCGTTGGGGAGTTGGTGGCTTGCAGAGAAGGGGACCAGGGTGAAACAGCCGAGTCGCGTACACTTTGTACACAATCAGCGTTAACAGAGATGCTGGTGATAGGACAGCAGAAGCTGCAGACACACGAACCAACAACTGATGTTAAGCATGAAAGTCACAAAAAGCGTAGGCAACGGACGTATTGGCATCTACCAATGTGTCACGGAGTCACACAGGAGAGTGACTCGGACGAATTTGATCCATCGAATCGCGAGTTATACCTGATAAAGAGAGGAAAAATTTAAGTAAAATGCTAATAGGTCATCATTGTAATGCAATGGTCGAGCCCTTACCGGAAGCACAATCTGAAGCACAGGCCAGTAAACTAGTCCATCGGTCCAACTCCAGGCTGAGGATGAAGAGGTCTAATGCGACCGGGAGACATGCTGAGTACAAGTTCAACTGATAACTTGGCGGTAAGAACAAATCCAACACTCCGCTTTTGTTTGCTTGTATCAGGGTAGGGGCAGAGGTAGTTATCCGAGGACCGGATACGATGCGATCCACGGTCATTTCGGCTGCAATATCGGCCACTTGATGAGCGAAGTGATTCAGTTGTTGAATTAGATTGGCCAAGAAAAGAGGAGGCAACAATCCATGGCAAGAAGAGGCGTTGGTCAACGTCAGGGGGAACTGACTGAAGGCGAAACAAGACAACCATCATAAGGTCAAGCTGAGACTAGTGTCACAATAGGCACGCACAAAGGAGTAAGAGAAGAATTCATTTAACCAGCAGGGCGATGGCTATGAAGTGATTCATAGCTACAAAGGAGAATATCAAATGCAAGCACGCCTTCATGGGTCAAAGTGCAAAGTCTATGGATGATAAACGGAGGTTCGACTATGCTAGACTACCGAAGCACGACAAGTCCAGTGATTGTGAATTGCATCAACACGAGTCGACGTAACTGCCAGGCATGGCACCTTGCTTGAGCACTACCTAAGCAATCATAGGTTCATTGGGAGGTGACGAGTGAGTGAGCCGAGCTGTAACAACAGGACAGATACTGTGAGCTCAATGGCAATACGTCGCGCACCAAACAGAAGTCATGTATTAAATTGCGCACCTGATCGTCAGCCCTCGGTAGCTCAGTGGTAGAGCAGCGGACCGGTAATCCATGGGTCCGGGGTTCGATTCTCCGTCGGGGCAGATTATTGTGCGGTTTAATCGTGGCTTATACGTTCTACGAAAATTATATAATTCACAAGATCCACAAGTAATCGACCATCGCTCTCTGAACATCAGAGGGACAGATACTTCGATTCATTGGGAAGTGACGACAGTGTGCCGACTGCAACATCAGGACAGATACTGTGAGCTCATTGGAAATACGTCGCGAACCAAGCAGATGTTATGTATTAAATTGCGCACCTGATTGTCAGCCCTCGGTAGCTCAGTGGTATAGCAGCGGACCGGCAATCCGTGGGTCCGGGGTTCGATTCCCCATCGAGGCAGATTATTGTGTGGTTTAATCGTGGCTTCTACTTCTAGGAAAATTACACTACTCACAAAATCCACAAGTAATCATAGGTTAGCTAAACTTGTTATTATGGTCATCGAGGTTGGGGTGGCAACGCATGCTGTGAAAATGGACCATCAGGCTTTTACGTCACAAGCTTTGGATGATGGCCCAACTCGCCCTCCTGCCTAGGTTTTGGCACCGTGGCAGTATCCCAACACACATACAGAGCCACAACCATTCCATCAGAAGTCAGCGTTACCTCGCGTCTGCCGTCGCGCAATTTCACAAATCGCCTTATCTACTGCTCACAGTGGAGTAGTTATATGAGCAAAAATACGCCAATGCCAATATAGACCACTATTTAATACAGTTCAATAGTGTATGAGGGGATAAGAAGCAGTATTAAAAGACCAACAGGATGGAAATGGCGCAAGAAAATTAAAATCAAAAATGCTCCAATCTGGAACGTGAATCATCGGTAGTAAAGATATCACACTTTATCACGCTGTGTATCTTTAAGCGCTAAAATGAAAGTCTGGAAGTCTCTCGAACGTTGTGATGTCTGGTGTGTTTACCGCATGTGTTGGTAGTGCATTGCAGTGGGAACAGATACTATGTGTGTATAAATACTTACTACATTCCAAACGGGAGTGTTGCGTCCCTAGTTTCAAGTGATGGCTTCGGCATTGTTTGTAAGAGGTTAGGGTCAGCAGTAATGTAGGTGGGTGCTCACTTTCGGTTAGTAGCCAGTGTGTGAGAACAAGATCCCTGCAAAACCGTCGGTATACTGAGGAGAACGCACCGAGTAAACGAAGGCGCAGTTCGTAAAAGGGACCGGATAGTCCACATGTTGCTTTGGTAGCTCTTCTTTGCGGCTGCTCTAAGAGACAAATGTCTCGTTTTAAACATGGGCGCCAGGCCTGAAACGCATATTCAACGTGGGAAATAAGGATATGTGTTAATCAACAGTGGTACTAGCCGTCGCTCAAAGGTGCCGAGAGCTCGACTCAAAAGCTCCAAGTTCAAGTTCGTCACATTCGCTGCTTTCGAACATTGAAGCGAATTGCCAAGACTTTCTGAACGATGATACCTAAGTCTCGTTCACTAGTCACCTGTTACAAAACGTGCTGTCGCAGAAGATATGTGTTGATAAAGCTGGTCCGCACCGTCAGCAGGTGGCACTTTGCAGGGTTCAGTGGGAGCTGGTTCCTTTCTGCCCATTTATTAATCCGGTCCAGATCGTTCTGGAAATAGACACGGTCGGATGCTGAACGAATTGCTCACCATATTTTAGCATCATATGCAAATATCTGCATCGGGAATACTGTTTTCTGGGAGGTCACTTATGTAAACTAAAAACAGTAGCGCGCCGAGGACGGATCATTGAGATACACCGCTCAAGACGCACAGGCTTTCGGAGTGAGTGTTGGATATTCTTGACTTGATGGTTCTGTCTTGTAGGCAATCTTCCAAACAGATGAGAAGGGAACCGTTGATTCCGTAGGCAGCTATATTTTGGAGGATAACGAAGTGACTGACCTTGTCGAATGCCTTAGAATAATCTAAGTAAACCCCTTTCTCTTGCATCCATCATGGATCCAGCGTTATAAATTGGAATCACAGTACCAAGGAGGCCTGGTGATCTGCATCCGTATCGCCAAACTACCTGACAGTTACCTAGCATTAAGAATCCCTCATCAGACAACATTACCAGATTCTTTTGCATATATTTAATGGTCCTAACCTAAGAACGTTAGAACGACGAGGTGCACTTGCATATACACTCGACAACCCCAGGTTTTCATGTGTGCTGCAATGCTGGAGCTATAAATGGTGACGCACGCGATCACCGACTTAACTCGCGTTTGGTCGAGAGCGTTCGAGAATGTAGACTAGTGGCGATCACAGGTCAAACAGGAGTGGGGTTTTATTCACAGTTCTGAGACCGAATCCTAGCTGATTGATCAGGCTCAAATACACAGGCGTTATGTGAAACTAGCCTGACAATGTCAGACAAGACCATTGCAAGCAGCAGTGTTAGGCGGCACTTCCGACAACCGAATGCACTACTAATGCAACCAAAGACGTCCATTATCAAGAAATTGATGCGGTATTACACAGGCTGGGATACAGGTGCAGTTGCAAAAAATAGAAATGTGCAAGCAAACTGTCTCAGCTCTTTAAAACCAAACAGGAAAGATGTTCGGGCCTCACTCCCAAAAAAGGACAAAGGCAAGCCGTGCGGAACCCTCCGCCATGAATCCAAATAGACGAAATCATTATAAGCTACAAATCGCAAGCCTCGGTATACGACTGCCAATCCTTTTAAACAACATGCCTCGATTGTAGTCATATCCTAATATGCCGCAGACTTCCTTGGAATGTCTCCGAGAAGCGAAATGAACAATTCCCTCGACTGACACATGAGAAGCTCTCAGCAACGAGTAGCCCGGCGTACCAGAGTGCTCCATGTAATGAGTTTTCAGCGGAATAGTGTGTCCATCACATAACATGGCGTGGGAATTTCTGTCAACGATGCCATCGGTCATCCACACATCAAGTACTCGGTATCTGAAGGTCTGGTAATCTAGTCAGAATCCCGGTGAATACTATCTTGGACCTATCACGAAGTGATCAGACGGGCTGTCTGACGCCAATCGAAGTGGAATCTGTGAGTAGATAAGGAGGTCAGTGTAATCCGGAGACTCTAGAAAAATTGATCTGGTGATACTTCAACAGCCTCTTCCAACTCATCGGCATCACTGGCAACGAGAAACAATACGTCCGTAGCAAAATTGAAGACAGCACCGGTGTTTGGATCCATAGTGATGTAGCTAGCCTGGTTCATTGTGCAGAGCACTTTCGAGGCAATTCTCTTGTTGCGTAGCTACTGGTTGCTTGCAAACGGAGACGCTGGTGCAACAATCCATGGTCAAACTGGGGGAAGCATAATTCTCAGCTCCAAGACTGAGTTATCACAGGTTGATTAGATTCCTTTGAGTATCCATTTGTTTACAGCCCGTTGGACGACATAAACTAAGGTTGATTCACGAAGCAATACTAGATGCTGTTTATCAGTGGTCTCCGCTTATGCAGTTCGGATACTGCCAAAGACACATTCTAACACGAACTGAACACGCTGCTTCGCAGTTTTGCCAGCGCAGATATCCTCGTTGTTGTATGTGAATGCGCATCTAGGTCGGATAAGCTCTTCTGAAACTCACCTAAGTGGTAAGTGTTACAACTCGGCCAGTACTGAACCACGACTCCTAGTAGAACGCAGTATTCGGCCCGTAACGCATGACAGCAGAACACGTCAGTTTCAGCAGTACACAGAATGTATTACGTCTCGCCATAAACACAACGCTTCGCATAAGTTCAGATAGCCTAATCAATGGTTAGCTTGGCGTCAACGGACACACAATGACGCTGGAGATCCAGCCTATAAAAACACAGTTTGATCGGTGACTAGCTTGGCGTTGGACGGACATACTGCGCAGATGCCACATTTCTCCTCCCTTTAGTTGGATCTACCCCAGTTGGCCTGGTATCGATAAAATGGTCGGCGTACTAGGCCTCAGCGGCAACATTGCGAGTCTCCGATTGATTGGTATACTGCAGTCTTCCAACTCAGTGACTGGGCTTTTCAATGTCTCGGCTAACGGAACCGAGACAGAGCGGGTACGGACATGATCCTTGTGTCGAATGACTATCCTGCCGTCTAGTAGATCCACATGCGTATTTTGTCCCGCAACTTCGCGCAGATCTCCAGGTTGCCAGTTCGTTTCGTTAGACAATTTGGTATAAACCGGGTTGTTCTCAGAAAGTTGTCGATTGACCGCCATCCGATCACACTCGGGCTTAGACTTACCTTGTTTGGCCTTGGCACGTAGCCTGTGATCGGGAAACAGCAAGTCTAACTGTGTCCTTAATCTCTGCCCGAACATTAGTTCACCGGGGCTCTTACCAGTCATTTCGTTCGGTGTGGAGCGGTAACCAGAAAGGAATTTGGCTAACCTTGTCCGCAATGTAGCCAGCACTTGTTTTCGTAGCCCGTTCTTGACTATTTGGACCACCTTTGCAGCTAATCCATTAGAAGCTGGGTGGTAAGGGGCAGACTTCACATGAGGTATGCCGTTATTTTTCAGAAACTCCTGAGATTTCTGTCTGGTAA